GGCTTCAGCATGGTGGTGATGATCGAGGCCCAGAAGTGGGTCACGCGATTAGGACTCCGGTGACAAAGCGACGGAGGAAGAAGGGATGTAAGGGGGGAAAGAGGGGAGGAAAGGGGGAGGGCGAGTGGAAAGGCTTGTACAATGGCTCCGACTGAAAAGAAAAAAGCCACCAAAAGAAAAGCATACCCGATTTGCTCAAGACCGAGCCGCTCGGCCCGCCCTGACAAAGGGAAGGCAATGACGCACGGGACAATGGCCGTGGGGGGAGGCCGGGTGCTTCTTTTGGTGGGGAGGCTGCTCCTCTTCATCTACCCTATGGACTCACATCTCCATCCGCAAGCTTCGAGTCGAAACCGAGGCATACCACAGAGGGCCGCCAGCACCTCTCTCACCGACCTCTCGCCCCTATTTCCACGTCCTTTTTGCCTACTTAAAGACCTCCGCCTACGCCCGTGCTCGCTCTCGCCCCCTTCACCCTCCTCCCTCTAGGTGCCCGCCTTCTTCCCCAACGGCCCATGCTGCGGGACGTACTTGACCCCCACCCCGTCGCCGATCAGGGTCCCGTCCAAGCGCCCGCGCACGTAGTCCTCCCGGTCCCAGTTCGTGAAGCCCCACTTGTTCGACTTCAAGATCTGGAGAAAGGAGGGGAAGGGAAGGGAGACTGGACGGTGAGCACGACGAATGGTGGCATGCATGATGTCACGGCGCTTCATGGCCGGTATTCCTTCTCCTGCACTGAGAATGTTGGCAATGCAACCATGCAGCCCCTCTTGAACATAATTTCACTGCAAGGTCCTCCACGGCCCCCCTCCCTCTCTCTCGCTCCTGCATCACACTCTCCCTCCGTCTACCCTACCTTCTGTCGACCCGGAAACTTGAACTTGGCACGGCGGAGGGCCTCGATGGCGTGCACCTGGTGGACATCCTTGCAGCGGACGCTGATCATCGCCTGGCCGATCTCGATACGCGCGACTTTCCCCGCGGGCTTTCCGAACGAGTGACGCATACCCTGTGGGAAAGGGGAGGCACCAGTCGAACGAGATAACGTGTCCATGAGGTGGGGAACATGACTTGCCCGTCGCGAAATTCCCGATGTGCACAACATTTCCGGAGTACCGATCCCCCGCATGCGACCTGCTACCTCTTTTCCCCCTTGCCCTCCTGTCACGCCCTGTCCCCCTGACAAACCTGAGAGAGTCGATCGGCGCCGGCGCATGAAAGCATCTTGGACATGCGTAGGACGTGGAAAGGGTGCATACGCACACGGATGTGGTAGGAGTCCTGCGTGACGGGGACAGGGTAGATTAGCCTCTTCGGCAGCTCAAACCCCCGGGGACAAATCTAGGCCTTCCCTCACACATCCGTGAACGAGTCTACCCGTTCTCCATCGCTACACCTACACCCACCTTTCCAGCGTTTTTCAGCATGTACTTGTTGCACGCGACGCGGGCAGCCTCCATGGCCTCCGAAGAAATTTGCTCCTAATAGGAGTTTGAAGGCGTGGATAAAGAACATAGGTGCATGAGTCCACATGAATCGACGAAAGTAGACCTTCGCGGATATTCTTAACCAACTAACACAATCCAAGACCGTCGCTCCGTCGTCCCAACGAGCATTGATGGCGCCCCCCCCTTCATCCATCAGACCACGTTCTTCGTCTCCCTACTGACGTACCTTTTCGTCCGAAACCATGTGCACGACACAGGGGTACATTCCAACATCCGCCTTCTTATTTCCGCCGTCAAATATACGGATTTTAGAGTCTAATTTCGTAGACCAAACGAGGAGAAGGAGCAATGAGGAGATGAGCGTCTTTGATTGGCTTCCACCCCGTCCGGGCATTCTATCTTCCCGGCCCTTCCCTGTACTAGTTCTTACCCGGCACACCACGCAGGTAGCGAGACTTGATATAGGGCTTCTTCTTGTGGAAGCGGTAGCAACGCGCAGGTCGTCGCCCCATGTTGCCGCTGTTGTAGGGGAATTCAGGAGTGTAAGAGAAAACGTGAGATCCTGTGTCTCGTGTCAGACCGTGTCTATCTGAAACCTCGAGCGATTAGGGACGCGGATAGACGTCGTAGACAAACGTAATCAGTGTCCCATGAAGGAATCGGTAACTGCTATGTTGCCTCATGGCACGGAGGGTTTGTGCAGGGCCTCACTTCTCGCTTAAGTAAGTTGCGCCCACAGACAAGGAAAAACTCTCTCCCTGCATGGAAACTTTGACCCTCCCCCAGAGGCATAGCTACAATTAAGTCGAGACACGCATAAGGCTGCGGCGCGGAAGGTATGCCTGAGAGAGATGAATGCCCCAAGTGCTCACCAAGAAGAAAATGATGGCAGGCTGGCCCCCCCCTGACCATCGATTCTCTCTTTCGCCGGGCCCTCGCGCGTCTGGGCACGACAACACCCAAACAACCCACACGCTTCAAGAGGAGCACCACGACGCACCCACGCCAGTAAAACATCAAGCACACGAATGGCATGCCGTACAGGCGCGAGGCGCGTGTGTCATGATCCTGCGACGCGGGGCTGGAAAAAGTGACAGGGGGGAGTGGACACGAGGCTCACAGGAGCGACTCTCAGCACACAAACGTGCGAGCGATGAGAGGGAAATGAGTGCACTAGAACCGGGCGCTCAGGCGACGTCCTGTCCGGCATTTTTGAGCATGCCATTCATTTCCGTTGCTCCAGACAAATGTTGTTCATGGCACGACTTCATGGTAGTAAATGTCTTCTTTCTAGGCCTCCAGCTCATTTATTTACCCCTCTCTTCCGCGGGAAAGGGGAAACAAACAAGCTGGAAATTCGTGAGATATGAACCAATCCTTGAAATCAAACTCCGTGCACTTTGAACGAGCACTTCAAATTTTGAAAGCAGCCTATGAGGAAGAGGATTACAGAATCAATGAAGTTGTCGACGTATGGAAGAAAATGACGAAGAAATGACGCGTATCGGATACTAGTGTAGCGTATCGCCCGCTGAAGCTCAAACGTTCCCAACACACCAAAATTCTTGAAAGAGATACAATGCTACGGGAAAGAATACGTAGCAACCATATATGATGTGTTGTCGTCACGCTCAGAATGCTGTTCTGTGCGCGTTCACGTTCTTGATTTGTGGGGGACTAGAAGTATTTACATTCATTGCCTGTCGCCTCCCACCCCCCTTCGACGACGCATTTGTTCACCTCAAAGCGAAACGTGGGCATGGCTCACCTTTTGATATGCTTACAAAGTCTACTCTAGAGCGTTCTGTCTCGCTCTTCATCGTCTCTCCCATCCCTCGTCTCCTCTCTGCCACTCTTTCCGTTGCTCCTCTCCTTCGCTCGTGCCAATATTATCCATGTCCGACTGTCTCTTACAGATCATCGAGTGTTGTTGCTTCATGGGGCCACTCAGAGTAAAAAAAATGTTCTACAATCAATGGGCGATCTACTTTTCCATAGCAATTAATTTCTAGGATGATGACAATGGGTACCGCCCCGGAAGATGAAGACGGTTGAATGATCGTGTCTTGTTGCCACGATACCAGCTTGATCTGCGAGAATTCTTTCTACAAATACGAAATTCTCCTCGAAGGTTGGACGATAGGATGTTCTTGCTTCGTGTCGACCTTCAGTTTTATAAGGCTCGTCTTCCCCGGGAATCCCGGAACTGGGCAACCGCACGAAGCTTGCAGCGTATCATTGGTGTAGAATCCTCCTTTTCTTCCTCCGAAAAATCACAATTTTCCAGGCCTACTGCTATCCAAGATCTGTTGTCTTGTTCATCTCGTGCCGCTAGGTGGTTTGCATTTTCAAGTAATGAGTCTTAATTTCAAAATGCAGGGATATTTATACTCTACATACATAATCCCTTGAAGGGATGACAGCAGGGAACTCTTTTTTCCCCAAGGATAAAGCCATCTTTGTAGTTCCGCAGGGTATCTCATCGTCTCGACTTGGGATGCGCCATTATAACCATCGATTGAGAAACATCACTCTATCTCTTATGGCCGACAAGACATTGATAGCAAGGGAAATTCATCCGATTGGGTAATATTCCCAGACTCCCCGAAAAGAATAATAAGTCCAACGCATACTTACGTACTAGACAATGAGATGGTGTCGCTCATGTAAAAAATCATACAGGACGACAGCATCGGGATAATAGACCTGAATCACGAGGATCGAGAGCGCTTTTTCTGAGGCGTAGACGGCTACCTATCATTTTTCACGAACGAGGCGACAGTCGGCTTATTATAGGCAATTTTTGAAACGTCAGATTTAATCAAATCCTACAAGTGTACATGCATGTGTGGCTGAGGACGTGTCTTCGCGTGCGAGTGTATTTTTTTGGCACATCAATGAACTCTCCTCTTCTCATGACTTAATGCAGGAACCAAGAATTTTATACCCTATGCGCATTCCTCATAAAACGCGGGCTGTACATCAAAACAAAATTGTGAAATATGACTGGAAGTCTGAATGCAGCTCAGGCCATCGCATGCAAAATTTTAACGATAAGCCGGACATGTCCTGGCAAGATAATGGAAAGGAAAGCACTTCTAAACCAGAAAAAGAGAAAGAAAAGACTGAGAAGTGCATTTGCAAATAGAAGTCGATCTGAACCAAGTTTCCGCTTTGATTCTTAACCTGAGGCACATTTTTCCAGCCCATCGGAAAATAGGCTCGTCCCGTGCGCATTCTATTGGAAAGGAAACCAAAAACATATCTCGTGCATAATTGAATTGATTACCACAAGGGTTAAGAACTCCAGCTGTGGTCAGCGGGCGTATGGTCTAGTGGCTTGTCCTAAGGCGCATGTTGAGCGTGTGCTGCGAGGGCAACTGGTGTATGATTCTCCTTTAGGGTAGGAGAGGTCCGGCGTTCAATTCGCCGTTCGCCCCCATTCTTTTTTTCTTTGGACTGCGACACTTGTGGCGTGGAATTTGTCTTTCGTTTTCACTCTTGAGGCTTGGTGTATTTGTGGTCCATGCTGTTTTATTCATTTTTGGCTCATTTTTTTAGAAAATTAACTACGCAGAGTATGGGGCAGGAAAAATAGAGTCGTTATCAGACAAACATGCTAGGATCTGGCATGACATGGATGCCCTGGATAACTTGGCTTTCGTACCCGATTTACTTTATGTATTGTTTCTTCTTCCTCCATATTCGCCATAAAGGCTTATGACGACACTATGTGTAAAAAAAAATGGCATTGCTGTACAAGAGTTCAAAAAGCCGGACGTAATATTTCTGCCAAATCTGCGAGTACGTCGCCTGCTCCTCTGCCTTCTAGTCGCGGCAAGAAGCGCCACAGCAATTCAGGTACTCAGTGGCTGGTGGTGATCATTCCATCTAATATTCTAACTTCGATTTTCATTCTAATCGGCGCTTAGGGTGGACTGGGGCCCTGTTTCTGCCCGCTCCGTGCTCCCTGTGTTTCCTCTGAGTCGTTGACCTCCAGCACCTCCACTACGTTTCGGCCCCCGTCAGCCCGACTTCCCCGTGCTGTTGCTTACACCAAGGAAAGAAGAAGACCTTTCACATTGCTTCTCGCTCCCAAGCTCCGGAATAAATCCCACCTCTCCTCGTTGTTCTCCTTCCTCCCTCCTACCGAGCATCCCGACGACCCACACTTACAAGACACCACGGAAGAGCGACCCCTTTTCTTCACGTTTCCTTCCATAGAAAATGCGCGTTTCGTTGCAGCTCATCTGGTCGACTTTGGCCTGGCCCGAACGGTGTCGTTGTGGCCGTCCAGCGTGGAAACTTGGGAAGCCGCCGACGACGGGAAAAGGTGAGGAGGGAGGAGGGAGGAAGAGGGCAGTAGAAAGCAGGATGATGCATAGGAAAGATATGGCTTGGGAAGGCATACTACTAGTCACATTATTCCAGCCAACTGATTTGTTCCTCGGTCATCCCATTTTCTTGGCAGGTCGACTGGCCGGGGGGGTCCGCGACAGGAGTATGGGCTGATGGTGATGGCAAGGGCCGGGGCGGCTCGACTGGTAAGGAGAGGAAGGGAGATGAAAGGGATAGGTGGGATTGCGTGCACAGCGGTATTGCCTTGAGGGGGGAAAACGGCGTCGAGAGGAACATGGTGAAGCCGAGAAGGAAGGAAGAGTGGCCAGGAGAAAAAAGCGAGAGGAGGTAGAAAGACAAATGCCAAGGGGCAGGGCGCCCCGACGCTGGAAGATTTTCCTGTCCCTATATCATGTGATGCGTGGGCCTCTTATCCAAGTTTCAATCCCTTCGCTTTCCCCCCCACCTAGATCCACCTCGAGGTCGGCAATCTCGTGAACGGAGGTCAGGAAGACGGAGCTCCCAGCCCTTCCTCTTCCCTATCCTCCTTCTTCTCGCCGACTGACCACAAAATCGGAATATCTGCTTTTGCAGGTAGCTCTTGGACCCCTCTTCTCGCCTCGTGTTGAAGCAGCCGTCTCCCTCACTCCAGTCCTACTCCTGCCCTCCTTTTTGTCTCCTTCTCCTTCCTTTCCCTCTTTCTTCTCTGCCTCTCTCTCTCTCATCTCTTCTGAAAATGATGGCAAAGTGAGGTTTTGCCACCATTTGCTGATTATTTCGGATTTGACTGAAATCGGTTTATCCCTCCCTCTCCTCCGCCTCTTCAGACCAGGATCAGTCCCCTGCCTTCCCGACGTTCCCTTCCTCACCTCCTCGATCCCTCCCAAAAGAGGAGACATCCGGTCTGTGGGACTGGGAAGACGTACATGCGTTTGACGACGAGTATTTCGAGGACGAGGAGGACGGTAAGTGCGGCAGGGTGGAAAAGAGAGAAGACAGGGGGGGAAGGAGTGGGAGATAGATGAGCGAGTAACGCTGATCCTGCTAATTGCCAGAGAGCCATACTTGAAGATCAACAGCTGCCACCGCTGACTGTCAGGACTGGTGCCCACCTATACCGAGAAATCCCCTTTCCTCCGTCTCACTGCATTATCTGCAAAATTATTTGCTGCATTCAGACCCCGTAGTCGTGCCGCAGGAGGATATCATGATAGTCAACGAAGACGACGCCTACGAGGCCGTGCTGGAACAAAATGTAATAATAGAGCAAGAAGGGGAGGAAAAAGAAGACGTAGCAGGAAAGACAGGACTAAGGGGGAGGATGGACAAAGAGGAAAATATTGAAGGAACGGTTCAAGCGGATGAGGAGGTGCTTTCGACTGAGATGGAGAGAAAAGGAGAGGGAGAGTTGGATTGGTACGATGAAGATGACGTACATAATTCTTTGCTGGGATGGTAATAAACTGGGAACTTGAAAAGCGGGACAGTGATTTACTTTGGCAACGCAGTGGCGTTATTACTCTTTTGGTTGATTATGCTTGTATGACAAGCAACGAGCATCCCAAAAATATGTACTCGAGCCTCCGCTTCGGCTCGTATGCGAAGGATGGTTAAGATGTCGCCGTCAAAGAGAGTTCACATTGCCAATTCCTACCGGTCTCAAGAGTCATCTTCACCACGCACACAACCTTATACTGCTATCCAGGATTTAAGGATGAATGAAAAGCATTATAGCTGTTTCAAATATATTTATGTTCCTAAAAAGATCCTATACAGCCCACAAAAAATTCGAGCGCTGGGAGTTGGTCGCGCCCGTCCCTGATGTCAAGCTCCCTCTGAACATTGACATAAAAGAGATGACGGTAACTTTACATATTGTCCATATCCATTGAAATATAGCAGGGTCTTTAACATCGGTGAGCGACCTGTCTGATAGCTTTCGTGTGCTTCAAGCGAGTTGCCTCCCCGAGTTTTTTACCACCCTGCCGTCCTCCAAGACTCTCTTGGAACTTTCACTGAGTCAGTAGTTGTGACGTTGGTTTTGCCGCCACGGTGACTTGGAACGTAAAAATAGGTACTGGCCACGAGGAACTAGACAGCCATATTGGGTTTACAGTCCCCCAATGTTGACTTGATATGTAAGAATCAGGTAATCTAGCATTAAAGAGCAAGAAAATAGTTGATCAAGTGTGGAAAGTGCACTAGCCTAGGCACTTGCAGTCCATTTTATTCTTCGTTACGCAAGCGGCCGCACGCAAGCCATATTTCTAGGAAGAACTAGACAGCTTTATTGGTTTACCGCCCCTAATTGTCAGCTTGACACGCAAGAAATAACACTTTAGTCACATGTAGTCAGGCATCTAAGAGCAAGAGGCTAGTTAACGAAGTGCTATTCAGGAGAGACTCACGAGATTAAAGTAACGCACACGTTGAGCGGCGAAAAGACCTGAGATGGGATGCCTTACCTAGTCAGCATGCCTTGTAGATACGAAATATATATTCACAACCATCACAATCGATCCTCTATAATTCAGTTGAACAGTACCTTCATACCGTCGCAATAGTGGATTTCAGGATATAAAGGCAAAAAGAAAGTAAGTTCCTTCAACGAAAAGGTAATTTCACTTGAATGGGCGCAGGATAGATAATAGGATAAGTAGGCTCACATACTCAGGATTACATAATTATTCGCAGGGATGTCCTCTGAAGTGAAACAACACTTGGCTTATGCCACCGAGAAGGCGCTGAAGGGGGGAAAGGAAGCAAATGAGGAATATGCAGAGACTACAGGGTAAGTGTGCGTGCCAAGGAGGACAACGTCATCGACATTCCGAGTGCTACATAGTAAGAGCGCTTATTGCCAAGCAAGGTCAACAGACTGGGCCTTTTGAGGGTGAAAAAGACGAGTGTTAAATGCCTCCCGAAGACACGCCTCCTCTGCTCTACGCTTTTACACTTTCATTGTGGGCTTCTCGACCTCCCTTTAAAGATTGACAAATCTTCTGTCCTCCTATTCTCAGCAGTGTCAGTATAAAACTTATGCACAGGAAACCGTCGCGCGTAGAGGACCGAAAGCATCCTCTTTCTGCATCCTCTCCACATAACGAGGTACGATAAATCCTCAACATAGCGATAATGCTTCCGCGAACATGCTTTTTTCCCTAAAATTCCAGCGGAAACAGACGTTGCTTACATCCCCCCTCCTCCATTTGGTTCGTTTGCTTCCTTTCTTGGCGCTTGACCGAGGCAGCGCCACGAGCAGCGTATCGACGAGGAGGATGCAGGGAAGAAGCCGGAGGGAAGGCAAGCGGCGGCAACGGAGAGAGGTGTTGAGCAGCATCAAGATCGACAAGAAAAGCAGCAGGGTAAGCCTCAGGAAGGGGCCGTCTTGCGCTGACTGGAGCTAAATTCCCCTCCGTCTCTACATTCCTATAACACCCCCTCCTCTCTCTCCACGATTCTTATTATTATATTCTTCTTCTTCTTCTTCTTCTTATTATTATTGTTATTGTTATTATTATTCCTGACTCTCTCCTCTCCCTCCTCTAAATGCAGTCGCCATGGCTGCCCCTGATCGGTTTTCCGCCGATTCGATCGACGCCGCCGGTTTCTGCGGGCGTGGCAACGGTACCTGGGAAGGGAGGAGGGATGTGCGGGAGGGCGGGAAAGAGGAGCCCAAGGAGGTATGACGAATTTCTTGAACGTTTCCACCATTCGTAACCTCGTCCTTCCCTCTTTCCTCCCTGTGATCTCCCTCAATACTCGGCTTAAACCGCGCTGAATTAGGCGGCTACATTCGAATGCCGTGGGATCCTAGCAATGGTAAGTGTTCCTCCCTCCTTCCCCTCCCTCCCTCCCTCCCTACCTCTTCCCCTCTCTCCCTCCCTCTCTACCTCTTCCCCTCTCTCCCTCCCTCCCTACCTCTCCTCCTCTCTCCCTACCTACCTACCTCTCCTTCTCTTTCCCTCCCTCCATACCTCTAAGTCTATTCTCCTGGTCTTTCTCACTCTCCCCCCCCCCCCCC